GTCAAAGAATTTCTGTCATTTCAACAAGAAACATCCCCTTGGCTACCTACCAGAGGATGTTCAAAAAGCCCTGGTGCTGAGCTGAGAGTCAGTCACCCACAGGATTCTAATCCACCTTGGGAAAGAAGCAATTGTAATCTCATGCTCAGTATTTGCACACAGTCCCTTCCCTGTGCAACAGATATTCAGTGATAAAGCAGTTGTGGTGAATATGCTGAATATTAAACATCTATTGCTTTTACTGTTTCATTCTTTGTAAATGGGTTTTCTATGACGAGGTTCTCAGCCTCCCCTGTGAATATTTAGCTAATGCTCGTGAGATCTGCAACAAAGGCTGAAGAAAGTTTAATGCAACATTTGTTCCCACATCATTTACAAATTTTGAAAATTGTTCCTCTAGGAAGACAATTGCTCCACTGTCCTTTCTCACTGCTGTCTGCCCTCTAGTTTAAATGAACATAGAAAAATCAACTGTTTCACAAGTCTCTTAGTCCCTCTATATGTTCAGTTGAATATGTATTCTATATAATCAGGTGAGCAGAAAAAAACACCTGCTTGGATTCACCTATTTCTACCTCTGCAGGAAAGTGTCCCTGCCACCTCTGCACAGATAAAGAAATATAATAAAGCATCTTTTTTGGGGATAGGTTTGGTTTGATATTGACGTTTTCAAGTCCTTTATATCATTTATTTTTAGCAATGGATGATCTGTCTTTGTCAGATAATTCCCACAGCTGCTTTCCAGTGAAGGAGCCAACAGCAGGAAGTCAGAAAAGGATGAAAACAGTCTCAGAGGAGAAGTCTTTATGCAATCTGCTGTGCCTCAGAAGGATGTTTCCTGCAGTCCCACTCCAACACCAGTGTTTGGCTTTGGCTCTCTCCAAACCCTAGGCATGGGCCCTGGAGTCTCAGAAGCCATCCAGATGCAAAAGTTCACAGGGGAGAATTCTTCCTGCAGCAGAACCCATCCTTTGTGCCAGCTCAGCCTCTGCTGATCCAGTTGCACTTTGCTCTCTTTGACTTTGGCTCTCCATTTCTCTTCCTGCCCTCCTCCAGGGTCCTTCCCTGGGGTCACCAGTGTGGCAGGCTTGTGTGCAGGGCACTGCTGCTCCCTGGGCTCGCTCTCTCACAGAAGCACTCTTCATTTCTGTCTCCTCAACCCTCACTTTTTCTCTTCTTGTTTGTTGGTGGCTTTTTTCTTTTTCTTCCCCCCCTTTTATTCCCCAGAGAGCCATATCTGTTTAAGGGGATGCTGAGGGCAGGACAGCAGGTTTTGCTGTCACTCAGCTGTGGAGCACTCTCTGAACTTCAATCAGTGCTGCTGAAGGAGCTGAAGGACACAAAGAGATTGTCAGGCCTGGACAATAAAAGAATTCTGAGGCTTTGGAGAGAGAAACATCCTATACATTGTCCTTACACATTCTGTAGTACACCAGCAGAGGCTGCCAGGCTCTGATAACAAAACAACTGCTCCCAGATTGTGCCAGAGCCCAAAACACAGCGGTGCTTTCAGAGAGGAGCAACATGGAAACACATCAGTGGCAGAGCCTGGGCCCAAGACAGAACTGGTGGCGTGCTCAAATAGCTCTGCACAGCCTCAGGCCCACAACCCACGTTACTTTGGACAAACCTGAGTCACAAAGCCAGCAAAGGTAAGCCAGGGGAGTCTATAGAAACACAAAAGGAATAATGCTTCTTTTATCTATTTCAGCTTATTGTTAATAATAAAATTTGGTTGTCTCTCTTTTAGGGCAGGTTCAATAATGCAAATTTAGAGTAAGCTATAACTGGAGCAATTAACTAAATTCAACTTCCTGATGATGATAATAATAATAGAACTGAACTGATATGCAGAAAGTGAATTCAACACACAATTTGGTCTGATGAAAGACTCTGATAACACAGTGGTGGTGTTAATAACAAGCTTATTTGTGAAAGGTGTGTGTTCTGAGATCTCAGGGGACAGCCTGTTATCTCCCTTATTGGTACCCTAGAGGTTCAATAATACACTTGCTATCAATACATGTTTACAATGGCCTACATTTCACAATTATAGATGGAGGTATTCCACACTGGATATTTTTGTCCACTGTGGAATACCTGCATCTAGAATTCTGAAATTATATAACACCATACTTAGTTAACAAAGAAGTTAGAAAGCAATGTGCTTGTTAAATACCTATCAGTGTATCTCTCTCTCTATGTATATACATACATATAAATATTTATACATGCACTATTAAATATATATTTATATATTTATATATTTATAATATTTATAATATTTATAATATTTATAATATTTATAGTATTTATATTTATATATATAAACAGTGTTAAGTATATATATGCAGTGTTAACTATATATATATATATATAATTTTTTATATGTGTATATATATGCACTGTTAAATTTCACTGACTCTCATGGACAGGCAATTTAATATTGCTTTTTTTTCCATCTCAAGGAAAGCAAGGCCAAGATGGAAATATTCTCTATAGAAGGTTTTGGACAGCTGACAGGTTTTTTAATAGTAGGGGATAGTGTTTGCAGTAATGCTTGAAAATATCCTCTTATGGATTGTTTTCTGTTTCAGTAGTGGCCAGGGATGTACTGTGTGTGGGGAGAGACCCTGACCTTTCCACAATAATCAGAGTGGGAAGCAGGAAACTGAGAGTGCAGTCAGCTCCAGCTGCAGCACTCCTGTTGGCATGGTCCTGGAAAAATCAATAGGATGCACAAAGCCCGTGTCTCTTTAGGATGTCAAGGGCTACCATCACCACCCATCCACATAGTGTTCAGCTTGCTGCACTTGGAACACAAAAACCCCACTTTAATCTTCTTTCCCTGAAGTTTAAACTCATAATGTGTTTTGACTCTTGACTGGGAGAGGATTAAAACAAGCATGTGCACACTCCACGGATAACGAAATACTCTCAGACACTCTGGTGGGTCGCATTATTGATGTCACGGATTAAGAATTCAGTCTCTAAAAACTTTTCCAGTTGGTACACTTTTAATGGTCATAAGACAATAATATCTTGTTGAATATGCACCTGTAGTGAGCTTAAAATTAAAGAGTTAAGCCTTTGTTCTTTCTTCCAGGCACAGCCTGAACTGTACTGCCTCATCCTAGCTCTTTCCTAATGAAAAAGCTCCGTCTCCTGTAATTTTAAAAGATGACAATAGAAATGGGAGGCTGGAAAACAAAGACAGACAAAATGAATTAGCAAGAATGCCTGCAAAACAGTTGTTAAAATGAAAAGCTTTTTCCATAATTGAAGAGTCCTGCCTGGTATTTCCATGAGAGGAAATAAAAGAGAGGGCAAGTGCAGAGACAAAGGAAGAAGATCTTCATTAGGAGTATTGTCTAGCACATGGTTCCTCTAAACAAGAACTTTCTAAAGGATTGACATTTCTATTAAAAGGGCAGGCAGTTTGCCATGCAATGACATTCAGTTTTAAAGGCTCAGCTTAGAAGCAATTTAGAGCATAAACAAGTTTCCAGTGCCACCTTCTCAGGCTTGGTTGACCCTTTATGTGATGTCACCATGTCCACATGAACAATGAGGAAATGCCATTAACACCCAGAAAGCCCCTGGGGAGGAGCAGGGTTTGTTATTTACCCCCATCCATTTCAGCTCCTTAGCAAGTTGGGATGATGTGGATGGCATTTACACACACATCAGGCTTCCACACACCGACCAAGAGGCTTCTGATGGCAGGACTCTGGCCCTCTGGGCAGTGAAAAATAGTAAATATCCCTCATCTCCCCCTTGCCCTCTAGGAAAAGTGCACAGACACGGACTCTAAAGGTACCCAGCCCTCCTGACTTTGTGTTTCCCCGCTCCCACTCCACTCAATGCCACTCTGAATCTGTTAGCACCACTGAGAGTCTTTTAAGGGTTTTCATCATACTTAAAAGGCAGGACAGGGGAGCTCTAAATTAGGTCCCCAATCAACTTTTTAAGTAAGACTTAATAAGCCTACTGACTTTTCAGGAGTCATTTAGTGCCACTTCCCTTCCCTGTCTTGCTGTGACACTCAGCAGCACTTGAGAAGTGACTGTGCTTGCTTAAATGCTGAACTGGAAGCTGATTTAGGTCTCTTCTTCCCACTCTAGCAATTCACACTCACAAGGCTAAAGACAGTGGGGAAAAAAATAAAACAACCCAAAAATAAATAAAATGAAGAATTACCTGAAGAGGGAGGAAAAACCCATTTTGCTAAATTTAGGAAAAACCCCAGCTTTTTTACCAACTGCAAGTAGTTCCTCTTTGTCTCACCTAACCTTTGAAACAATGGAATTTCTCAATCTTGTTAAGGAAATAGTAATATAGAACTATCATCTTCCTTTTATATTTACTTTTATCTTAAGCCTAATGGGAAAATGTCTGGAGTTCTACAATCCTTTATAAGTTTCTTGAATTATCTTGTGAGCAGCTTGCTGCAGTTCTTTTTATTAACCTCCAGACCTTACTATTTAACCACAAATAGATTTAGGTCATACATATTGAATTGTTTTGATAACAGTCTAGTGTTTAATAATAAATGCTTCTCCAGAAAATTAAACAGTTCCAAGGCTGTGCTCTACAAATGTGGTTTTGGAAAGAGCACCATATGACAACTCAGATGGGCAAAGAAACCACAGGACATTAGCAATGCTCTGTGCAGACTCTTTCTGAGTTGAATAATTACTTAGGGATGATTATGACAGAGATAACAGATAAAAAAGAAATAAGAAAGTATCAATGCCAAGCAGCTGGCTATTAAAGGGCTGCCACCAAGTAAAATGAATACTTGAATTACAAGTAGTTTAGGACCCTGAGTGCCATCCTTTTCTACCTCTAGTAAACCTTTCTCATAACTTTGATCATCTGATGTCCTTTATGGAACTTTATTGTGTAAAGACGATGTAATATTTATTGTTTACAAATCAGCCCATCTCAGGTTTGGGTTTTTTTTTTTATTTCCTTTCTATTTACCACTACATTTTTTATTTTTTTTTAAAATTTATGTATCTATCCACTGAAATATTTATGCAAGTTGGGTCCAGAGGGAAGCAATCTTGTTTTTGCAGATTGTAGCTGGTGCTTTGAGACAACTCCACAGAGTAAGTAAACACAGAATAACAGAATTGGTTTTGTGCGTGCTTTCCTCGGGCACACGCTCCCTGCTCCCTGGAATATTTGGAATTTGGTATTACACAAGGGCTCTGAAGCAGCCCTGCTGAAACCAACAGGAGCAAAACATTTGAAACATGCTGGAGATTTTTCCAGATATTTCTGGTTTTGTTCTTTATCAAAGTTGATAGAAACACGATTTTTCTCAAATGTAATAAATGGAGGAGGTTATCTGCTGCATTGATCTGAAGGTCAACCACTTCCTTTGATATGCTGTTCACAGTACTTGATTAAAAATGTGCCGTGTTTGAGTGTAAGAAAGAAGAGGGACTTGCAAAGATTAAAGCCTGAAGATGTGTTCCTGCACAGTACACACAGGCAGAAAGCCACGTATGTCCATGAGGAGTGAGTTGCATGGAACCACAACCCTCAGCTGGCCTTTTTGCAACAGCTTTGTCAGCGAGAGCCTCTCTTGTCCATGTGAACCAACAGTGCAGCATCATGCCTGAGAAGAATTGGTGGAGCTTTCTGCAGTTGTGGATGGCCAGCAGCCCACTTCTCACCCTCCAGCTCCCTCTCTGTCCTTGCTAGGGACAGCAGTGGCATCTCCAAATTCCCAGTGTGATCTTCTGAGGGCAGGCAGAGGGACACAGCCTGCTCTGTCACCCTGGAGCTGTCTGACAAGCAGCAATCCTCCCCACACCACTGCCAGCCTGGGCACTGCCTGGCATGGTGAGATCCATGAAATAAATGTACTGCAGAGGAAGACATTGAGAAAAACAGTGAGGTTGTTTTCCTCTGGCACAGACTTTCAACAACTAAAATTTGGGCTCTAAATTTGCGGGTATCAATTGCAGTTTATGTGGTAACATAAATATCCTTGCTAATATGGACTGTCTTGATTGAAACCCTCACTAAACTGCATCTGTGGATTTTTCTTGACCTTGCAGAAACTATAAGCTGTAAATAATAACAACATCCTCTCTAACTATTTTAAGCAGCAATATTAGTGCTTTTCTTGTTTTGTTTTGTTTTTCAGCCTCTTCCTCATCCCTTCTCAAGTATTTTCCTCTTGTTTCTTTCTCAGAACTGGCTTCGCCCATCAACCATCTCTGCTGCTGGTAGACTGCTTCTGGTTAATCCTCCCACACCTGATTCCACTCCTCTGCTTGCGATCCACCAGCAGCTTGTTTACCTTCCCATCTTTAGTCAAATGTCAGATTATTTCCTTTCCAACAAAACAAAAACCATTCCTTTGCTTTCTTTCTCCACTGCCCTGGGGATTTTTCTCTCTCCTTCCCATCAATCAGATTACTGTCCATTCACCTTTCTTCTAACACATGTAAAGTGTTACAAAGTTTTGTCATTTCCTCACCCAGAGATTTATAAATTATCCAGTACTTCTTTCCCATTCTGACAGAAAAACTACTGGAAAATGCTTCACTGGTTTTCCATCTTAATTCAGTAGGCTCCATCCCTTCTCTCATTTTTATGACGTCCACACAATACCCTTTTAATTCACACAAATGGATGGATATGGCAGGCATTCAAGCAGCCTCCCTGGGAGAATTCTAACTCTCTCATATGGCCAGAAGAACAAAAGCAGGCAGCTGTTGAAAAGGTCATCAGGAAATAGAAGCTGCAAAAATAGCCCCATCATTCAACCTGCACTAGGCCTACCTTCCAGCCCCTCTCTACACCCCTGGCACACCTCACCCAGCCACAAGTTTTATCACCTTCGTGATATGGACAAGTCTTCCCTCACTGTAACACTCCTGTCTTGTGAGAAGTTGCCTGAAAATTACACCCTTACTCTGTAACTACTGAAAGAGTTCCCACTGTGTGACTTTTTCCATTCACTTTTTAGCCTAAATTGCCCCAGATGTGAAACCACTGACTCACAAATGCTTTTGTCCCTGTACTCAGATAAGTTCCTTATGCCCATGCTTGACAGAATTTGGTAGAAAAAAACCCAACAGGTTAAAGACTTTTGAGCACAAACATCTTTTTTTATATGTGAAGATTTCATCTACAGCTTGGCCCAGCTCCTCAGCTGGTATGAACTTGCTTCACACTTCAATCCACATACTGGGGCTTTTTTCCCCAGCTTAGAACTATCATTAATAATAAAACCTTCCTCCAAACAAACAAACAAAAAGAAAAAAAAAAAACCACAAAAAAAAACTAGAGAAAAAAACAAAGTCAACAGTACAGAGAAGCAGTAATGAATGTCAGCTTACATGCTACAATATTGTACCTTGCCATATGTTCAAGTAGCTTTCCTTGGAGAATTCCATCTCTCTCACACGGCCAGAAGAATGAGAACAACAAACTGTTGAAAAGGTCATCAAGAAATACAAACATCACAGATGGCATAGGTGAAAGCACTGCGAAAAAGCAGAGTACAGAAAGAACGTGTAGGAGGATCTTTCTCTAATTGGCAGGAGTGAGCTAGAAGGTGCACTTGTACACTGCCTTTGTTAATATTAAAATGCCTATTGCAGGGGCACCTTACAATGTACTTGCCAATTGGTTCTTTTTCTAACAGGGAGATGGAACAGCTTCTCCTGTCGCTGCCATTCCACGCTGAATGTCCCTCCATTTCAGCAGGTTTTAAGGAAAACAGTGATTGCAGAGGGGCACCCTGGTGTCCTGCAGAGGGGATCTCTCTTCACAGAAATTTGCCTTAGGAGTCCAGGTTTTACAGCACAGGTCCTGTCCCAAGCAGGAATAAACACATTTCTTCTCTGGCTGTGTCCAGAGAGCCTCCACTTCCCGCTGTCTTAAGGGAACTCATGAGCAGTACCAGGAGCTCCACCAGCTGCCTCAGAGACTCTCTGGGATCAGACTTTTCTTACTTAATGCAAGGTCATGGAGTCACATTTCATCATTGCCAAGAAGGCATGTGGAGAAAAATATTCATGTGCCATGACTAAAGCAAAAAGTGAGTACAGACAGAGTAGCGGGTGAAATTCCAGCTTGCCAAAACCAACCCACAGAACATTTTCTGTAACCTCTCTCACCTGTGTCAACCAGTTTTTATTGTTTTTGTTCAGAGCATTTAGCCTCAGAAAAATAAAAAAAACAAACCCAAAGAACCAAACCCATACTCCCCCAAACCACCAAAACAACTCCAGAAAAAACCCAGACAAAGCCCCTCTAAGAATATATTGCTGTAGCAGAGCAGGTACAGGGTGCTATCAAAAATTCAAGAGTTCTCTGTTGCAATTGTAAAGTTTTCTTGTACATAGAAAGGATTGTGATAGCCAAGACAGACTCATAAAAAAATAGACGGAGAGACTCAGCACTGCACAATTAAAATGGAACTTTCCCATTTACCACCAGAGGGAAATGGTGGAGCAAGGGCATGGCACAGGATGGACACAGCAAGAACAAATGTGTTTATTCCTGCTTGGGACAGGATGTGTGCTGTAAAACCTGGACTTCTAAGGCAAATTTCTGCGAAGAGAGAGCCCCTCTGCAAAGAGGTTTTTCCCACAAGTCAGACTTGACACAACTGTTCCTGTTAGGTGGCATTTATATCATAGCCCCAGAACTGGAGGGATTCCAGCACAGGTCTGGCATACTTCACGTCCCCAGAAGTGTTTCCAGGAAAACAGGTGAAGCAGGGAGCACTGGAAGCACTGCTCCCAGCAAGGAGCTCAGAACACAGAGGGATCTTCTATAACCTCACAGCCAACTCTCCTCCAGTGGAATCTCACAGTGGAGGTTTCAGCCCTTCACTGTGCAGAGAGAAGGAAACAATGTCCTTGGAAGAGAGAAGAGAATCACATCATCACAGAAGGACAGACCCAGCTCACTCAGGCTGCATAATCCAGAAATGGATGGCAATGGCTCCTCATACTGGGAAAGACAATTGCTTAGCCCAGAGATATTTGCTATTTGCAGGAACTAATCACAACAGAATTTGATAATTTAACAACCATTCTTTTAGGAAAGCTGTTTAATGCTAATAGGCTGCTGTCAGGATTTTTTTTTCTTTAAACTGAAAGCCTAAGAAAGGTATAGGCTGAAAGGAAAGCCATAAATAAGCTTAAAAATCAGCCTCATTATGCAGCAAACCAGGAACCTTAAGATAAACCTTTAAAGAAAGCATATGTAGTCTAACCTCAAGAGCTTGACTGTATAAGGGAATTACTGAGCATGGCTTATGACATGACTGTAACACTCACTGGCATTCCCTCACTAAATTCCTACTGCAAATACAGAGGGTTTTGGCTTACCACAGCCTGTGCAGAATGTCAGGGCTGCTGACAAAGTTGTCCTGCCCTGCTCTTTGCCACAGATGCCTCTGAAGGAGCTGCCAGAAGCAGTGAGGGTCAGCAGCCCCTGCAGCAGCTCCTGCCTGGATGAGGGTGGAAGTCAGAAGCAGCTGTGCAGAGAGTTTGGAAAGCTCCTCCAAGGCACCACCGAGGGGCTGGAGCTCTGTGGAGAGGGAACAGCTGGGCCCAGGCAGCCCCTGCATCTCTGGATGTGCTTATCAGCTATTTGCTAAGTGGATTAAGTAAAGGGTGTTCTAACTGTGCAATCAGAACACCCCTTTAAAAGTTAAATAAGAGCATCCAGAAGCAAAGGTATTGCAGAAGAATATTACAGGATACAAATTCTTTTTAGCTTAAAATATGCAGAATACCAGAAAGATCAAGAGAGTCTAAAATAACCATATTAAAAGAGAAAAGAAACCAGTTGGAAATAACTTTTCCTAATGACTAAATAAACTTTGCCATAACTTTCGTGTGACCTTTCTGGACAGTTACTCTAGGTAAGGTTTGGGTCACTGTTGTAGAAGGCCAGAGCTTGCAGAAATAATAATAAAAAAAATATATATTTTTTTAATCTAAAAAAGTGGGGTCTCTCTAACTTCAGACTCCCTGCCTGAACTTCTGGAACTTGAAAGAGAAAGAACATTTTCTCACATTCCCTTTCATTTCTTTCTCCCCTTTTATTATTAATGAGTGGTTTCAGAAATGTGATCACACTTTATGTATTTTCTCAATCTTCACCTTTACACACTTTCACAGAAGCCTTCTATCAGAGCATGGCAATTCATTTAGCACCATCATTAATTGTTTACTACATCCCCCGGTTCTGACAGAGAGTATTTCAAGGTGCCACTGCAGGTCCTGAGCTGCACCAGAACTGGAGAGCAAATCTAGGTTATAAATAGGACTGAGCATCCTGGGGACCACACGTGGGATCTCACGGAACCAGAGCAGTGGGTTGGGCTGGCTTTGGAACAGTTTGTAATGATCCAAGGGCTGGAGCTTCCCCTGTGAGGAAAATCTGGGAGAGTTGGGGCTGTTCAGCCTGAAGAAGACTCTAGGGAGACTTAAAGGTGGCCTTGCAGGGCCTGAAGGAGCTGCAGCAAAGCTGGACAGAGACAATTGCCAAGGGCTGCAGGGCCAGGAGCCAGGGAATGGCTGCCAGTGGCAGAGGGCAGGGCTGGATGGGATCTTGGGCAGGAATTGTTCCCTGGCAGGGTGGGCAGGCCCTGGCACAGGGTGCCCAGAGCAGCTGGGGCTGCCCCTGGATCCCTGGCAGTGCCCAAGGCCAGCTTGGACATTGGGGCTGGGAGCACCTGGGACACTGGGAGCTGGCCCTGCCATGGCAGGGGTGGGAATGGAGCTTTGAGATCCCTCCCAACCCAAACCATTCTGGGATTCTCTGAACAACAAGTGAAAACATAAAGTATTTTTTTCCTTGGAGGTTCAGAGGGAGTTGGGAGGGGAAGACAGGAAAAAGACACCACAGAACTCACCTTGGCCAGAGACATCCTCCCAACACAGACAGAGATCAGCGCCACTGTTGAGATTTATTTACACTTTGTGTCCCAACTGCAGGGTGCCAAGGAAGGTTCTGAGGTGCTGTGAGGGTGAGAGACACAAATATTATGTTTGTGGCCTTTAACTGCCACAAAGTGTCTGCTGTGCAGGATGGTCCTGTGCATATCCAGGGACCTGGCCTTCCTCTCAGAAAGCTGCAATTGCACCTGGAATTTAGGCTTCAAGACTATGTTAATTTTATTTTTAGTATAAAAATAAAAAGGGTGGATGGACCCCAGTTGGCAGGGAAGAAACAGAGGAAGGGAAGGATCAATGTGAATGTCAATTTTTGCTGGGAAGAAGGTGGCAGAAATTACCAAATTTCCATGGAAAGCAAAGGACAAAGTTTGGAAAATGATCTGCTAATTTCAGACCATTTAACCCACCTACAAACCTCCACATTTGCCCTTTGTTTGCACTACCTTGTTACTCTGATAATTTTTTCTGGAAAAAAGCTTCTTTTCCTGGTTTATTTGGTCATTAGTCAGCCTGAGCTTTTTCCCTGTGGCTGGTGCAAGAGGATGCCAGCCTTGGCTCTGCTGGTAGCAATGCTCAGAGTGCTCCCCTTCCTGAGAGAAAAGCTGCTTCCACCCATTGCTCCCAAAGAGCTTTCCACCTTTCCCTGGGACATTGCCTGCACTAATTTGTACAATACAGTTGCATTTACAGCAATCAAAATTGAGTTAAGGCTGAAGATTCTCATTATAAATCTGATTTCCAGCATTTCTAAACACAGAGAGGAGATTTAATGAAAGCTCCCAGGTTCCTACTCAAGTGTTTGTTGTTTTTTTTTTTTTTTCTTGTTGGTTCCTGAAATGTTGAGGGTTTGGCAAAACAATCTGAAAGAGTCAGGAAACTGCAGTGAAATGCTTGTCCTTGGTGGGATGGGTGGGAAACTGGAGAATGGAACCAGAGGGATAGAAGGTTTTAGACTTGCACCTAAAATTCCCTGGGAATTTTGAGGTGTATTAAAATAAAACCCCAAACTCCACATAAACAATTCAGAAGTGAACGAGGAGCTGACAACTAGCTTTGTTTCTTTGATCTGCATGAAGACTATTATTTTGATAGTGATTATTTTGATATTGGTGTCTAGATGGAAAATCAAGGCAAACTTCTGGAAAATATGAAGTGAAGATGGATTAATTGGAGAAGTCACAGGGGATTGTCTCACAAGCCTCATATCTGGTACAGACCATTGCACTTCTTTAACAGTTTCTTAGATCTCTAACCCAACCCCACAAACTCTCTGCCATAACTGAGGATATCAAAACCAAATTTTTAAAATTATTAACATGTACTTGCACTTTTACTTAATTCCCCTTAATTAATGGTGTGAACAAGCTTAGAGCCCAGACACTGCAGGGCCCCATTCCAAAGGGGAACAGAAAAGGTCACCAGAGAGGTTAAAGAGCCTAACAGTGATGGGGTGCTAGCAAGGTACAAGCATGTAGGTGCTTGGGATATATTTGTGTCCTTTGCTCTTTCTTAAACTGTTGAAAATGTCATGTATCTTCTGTGGCTTCTCTAACGTCACTCCAGTGGCCTTGAAAAGTTTTTAAGCAAAGCAGGCTGGCTTGTGGTGCAGAAAAAATCTCCACTCTTCATCAGGAAGCACAAGAAAACTGAAAGAGAGAGTGGAACAAACAGTCCTCTGGTATAAAAATGAGGGAAAAGGATGGTTGAGAACATTAGGAATAGCAAACAGTGAGACAGAGTGGGAAATCTACAGAGAACCTCAAATCAAATGCAAAATAAATCAGAAGAATATCAAGAAATGAAATATTAGCAGGGGAAAACCAACTCATATGGCACTGTGATTACATACACCCCAAAAACACACCCCAATGCACCCCAAAACCATTCCCAAGCCAGGGATGCAGCTGGATTCATGCTCCTGCTCACTGTGCACCTGTGGAAACACCAGAGCAGGGAACACTGCAGGTTTCTGGGCACTGAGTGAGCCTGGCCTCAGCTCAGCCACACAAGGTGCCAGCAGATGGGAAATCAGGAGCAGGGGGCTCCTCTTGCCCTGCTCCCCCTGGGTCTCTGGTGACTTAAACATGGAATGTGAAGGCAGTGCTGATGGTCTGGGCAAGGACATAGCCTGGCTCAGTGATCAGTGCCTCTCACACCTGCCCTTTCCCACTGTAAACCTGCATGAGGACAAGTGTCAGGCTGGGCTTGGCCACCAAACCCCAGCAGCCCCACCCAGGCTCCTGCTCTGTCCTCATTTCAGCAAAGCTTTCCAACAGATTCCTTTGTCCAGTGGGTTTTAGAGATACGTACAAAAATTCTTCACTTTAGGCATCAGACAACAATGGGACTTAATCAGAGTCCTAAAAATAAGTCTGCTTATTTCAGTTTCCGCTGGTTAGAAGCAAGAGGCTGAAATGGGGACTTGTGTGCACAAAAAGTCTTACACAGACATGGCAGGAAGGGTTTCACCAGCTGTGTGACCAGAATGGTCAAAAACCCCCAAAATATGAAGGTTGTACTTGCCTGCTCCCTCCTGATATGGGGACAGGGTAAAGGCTTAGAATGGACAGATTATTGTATCAAAATACCCCCTTTTTCACTCAAAAGAGAGCCACAGGGGAAGGTTCAGAGCAGGATGGCAGGATGAAGGGGGAGGAGGGGAAAGTCTCTTTGACACAGAAAAATGTTGTTGCATTTCTCCAATGAGAAAATATTAATACTTCATTTCTAAGCATCTGAAAAACAGACACAGCAAAATGTATCCCCAGAAGTAAAAGACACTGCCCTATTACCCTCCCACTGTACACATTTAAACCAAAGGGCAAATAAATGTTGGCAAACAGAAATGTGATGACTTACAGTACTTTGCTACAGTAGCTGGGAGGAGAAAAAAAAAAAAATCCCCCAGAAAGATTAAGAAGCAAACATAAAACTGATCTTGAAATTCCTCTTTGTTGATGCCCCAAGGCAGGTACTTTTTCAACATTATACCTATTTTTGAAAAGTACCTGCCTGTTGGGGCACCTGTGCTCCTGGAAGCTCTTCTGTTTACAGACACAGGAACACTGACTCACTTGGCAAAAAAATATAAATTAACCAACACTTCCCTGATTAAAACAAATATTAGACATACAGAAAGTCTTCAGGAAATGATCTGCTTAAAAATACTCTTTAATTTGCAGGCACCTGAATTTTAACCCTAGAAATGATTCCTCATTCTGTGAGCTGACTAAACCTCAGACAGGAAAACAGGAGAAGAAGGATTAAACTCTATTACTGGATTACTGCTTTGCCTTATAGGTTTCTTTTTTCTTTCCCCTCAATAATTTTGGGATTCATCTGCTAAATCTTTTTTTTTTGTACCAAATAGGTGTGATTGAGTAATATTATTTTAATGGAGATAAGATATTCTCACTGGTATAATTGTTAATTCTTAGGGAAACTTTCCTAGTATTACCTTACCTCCTACCTGTTACTATTCTGGCCCCTAGCAGGAGGATATATTTTATTTGAAGTTTACTAATTGTGTTTATTTCAAACACATTTGGTTCTTAGTAAAGCCACTGAGGTCCTGCTTGCACTTTAAATTTGCAGGTTTACTGTAAAATGCCAGGCACACTGAGATGAATCAAACT